TGGCAAAATAAATCCTATGGAGAGAGGTCAAAGCAATAGAGATTGTTTAGTCTAGAAAAGAGAAAGCTAAGATTAACTGTCTCCAAGTATGTGAAGGGTTTCTGTGATTGGGATGCCAACCAGTTGTTTCCCATGTCCTTAGAGGATCAAGCTGAAGGACATGGGTTTAAAGTAGGAGACATTTCATTCGGACAGAAAGCAGACCTTATAGGTCAGCATGACAAAACAATCACATGGGTTAATGAGGAAGCCGTGGGGGTCTTCATCCCTAGAGAGTCAAGAATAGAAGAGTCAGGCTCCAATGGGGTGAGCCTTTCCATTGGCCGTTGGAAATTCTGGCATTCACTTAAGTGAAAATGATTGTGCCATTCTTCTACAAGCGCTTTCTGAGTAGTTTTGGAGAATATACTCTCTGAGTGTATGTTAACTTTCTAAGCGAGGCTGAAAGGCTAGACAGGTATTCATTGATCCTTCTCTCCTGGATTCCATTCTGAAGACAGGTGTCATGGTCAGATTCCTCCTTTCCTTAGTTATTCTGAAGTCTGTATCTGACTAAAGTGTTATCCTCTAACTAAATAACAACAACTAAATAATCTCTAAGCTTGAATGTTCTCAACCCTGGGTTCAGAAATCCATGTGGAGAGAATTTGGTCAGAAAGCCAAGGCTAACTGTCCTCTAGGAAGAGAATTAACCAGTGTCTCTTGCCACAGTTCAATTTGTCTGGCTGCTAGAATGCAGCTGTTAAGATAGCTGCCTGACTTTCTCCCAGTTAAAAGGACAGCACCAAATGTTGGTCTCAACAATATTTTGGCAAATGTTGGTTTCAACAACATTTTGCTTCTAGTAGCAATAACAATAAGCATTTATTGGGCCCCAGAAGTGCCCTAGGCATCTGTTGGGCACATTTGTCTACTCAGGAAGTAATCTAAGCTGCATATGTGTATTAATTTTCATTTTAAGCATTTGGGAATCACATTTATGACATTTCTTGAAATGAAGTTAGACAAACTTGAGAAAATTAATTTTATATGGAAAAGGGAATAATAAGAAAGAATTTAGATTTGTTTTGTTATGTAACATTTATTGAGAATTTCTATGAAACTGCCCAAGAATAGCTTTACCCTCAGTTGTTTAGGAATCAAATCAGGAGTGTAGAAAATGTTTGGGGACAAAAAAGACTCTGTAACCTGACAGTGTTGGGGGCCTCATGGAGAGGTACATCTTTTTATGGAGCATATGTCATAGAATCACAGAATTTTTTGAATGCTGTACTTAGACTCATGAAGACTTGAGTTTGAATCCTGTCTTGGACATTTACTAGTTATGTAACTCCACTGGGCAAGTCCCTTAACCTCTCTCAGCCTCATTTTCCTCATTTGTAAAATAGGAATAATAATAGCACCCACTTGTTGAGGGGAAATCAAATAAGATGATACATATAAAGTGCTTTGTAAACCTTAATGTAGAGAAATGTTAGCTATTATAACTGTTCATTTTAGAGCCAGACTGAACCTCACTGGTCATCCCCACTAACCCATACCTTAAAGGAACCTCCACTATAACATCTCTGATAATTTGTCTTCTATCCTCTGCTGGAGGATTAGCAAAGATTCACCACCTTTTGAGGTATCATTCAGTACCATTCAGTTTTTGGACAATGCTAGTTGTTAAGAAGTTAGGTTTTTGGGGTTTTTTTGTTTGTTTACTTGCTTGTTTTTTCCTGAGAGTCTAAATTTTGTAAAAGTCTTTGTGGCTTCTATTTCTTTGATCTAGTTTTGTCCTCTAGTGTCAAAGAAACAAGTCTAATCCTACTTCCATGTGACAGACCTTGCAATATTTGAAAATAGCAATCACATCTCCTCTTAATCTCTTCTTCAGGGTAAACATACCCAGGATATGGACAAATGGACAACAGGAAGGAGGGGGCAGGTTTTCAGATAAAGGCTCTGACATGCAGCTGTCTTGTCTCTGTTCCACGTGGGGCGATAGTGTCAAACCAAGAAGGCCTACTTAGTATGAGAACGGCAGGTTTCTAACTGTGCTGCGTCAGAAAGCTTGTGGGAGAGTTTTAGCCAGTTGTGCTTATATCTGGCATGGAGTTAAGCCTCAAGTGCTAGCATTGTGCAATAGGAGCCAGGCCTGGGAGAGAAGGGCGAGACTGCTCTGAGTATGCAGAGGGATTATCACTTCCTTCATTCATGTATCAGAACGCAGTACAAGGATCTGTAATTCCTTTGCTGTGGGAACTGTCTCCACCAGTAGAGATCACAGCTTACCTATAGCTTATGGAGAATTGTGGAAAGCAGTTGAACTTCATTTGTAATGTATCACTAGATGAAATTTGTGCTAAAAAGTTGAAGAGTGTGAGCACAGGAGAGAATTGGCATTATTATGCCTAGCAAAAGTATCTCATTTGGGAGGTAGTGTGATATAAGTGGGTAGAGCACTGGCTTGAGAGCTAAGAAGACCCGAGTTCAAACCAAGCCTCTGACACATACTGGTTATGTGACTTTGGGCAGGTTATTTAGCCTCTCCGTGTCATAAGCATACTCAGTAAAACTAAATGGTGGAGCAGTTGTTTATCTGCATTGGTAGAGGAAGTTTGCTCACTGGGGCTTCCCTATACTAATGAAATTATAGGTCTGGACCCCCAAAACTGCTTACCCAGAAAGAAGGCTCCGTGTGGCAAGAATGGAATTTGGTGATGCAGGCATTTTTGTTTTCAGTAGATGACAAATCGCCAAGTCCAGGAGTTCAGGATGGAGAAGGCAAATCAGAATCAGTCTGTTGTGGTTTTCTTCCACCTCCTGGAGTTCAGAGGACATGTTCCAGCAATGCTTATACTTATGTTGGGCATGCCCAGGCTGGCCACACTTCTGCAGCTCTGCAAGATGAAGCCGTTTAGAAGGAAAACACCCCAGGTGTGTGGTGGCAGACCCTGTGGTATGCAGTTAGCTCCAATTGGAGAGAAGAAGGTTACAAGCTGGTCTTGGTTCTAAGCCAATAACTGATTTTCACAGCTGAGGTGAAAAGCACCCTCCTCAAGCAAGTCAATGTTCGTGAAGTCTTAAGAGGAAAAAAAAGTTAACTTCTTTAAAATAAGCCCTAGAACACACAATTATCCTTTCAGAAGGTGAATGGCACAGGGCATGTTTAATGGTGGTCTTAATAGCCTTGTTATGATGGCAGGTCGTGCATACTATAAATTACATCTATCAATAATAGTAATGGAGAGCTGGTACAGTAGATATAATACTGAGCCTGGAGTTGGGAAAGACCTGGGTTCAAATCCTACTTATGATACTTCCTAGCTAAAGGTCCTCAGGCAAGTCACTGTTTTGTACCTCAGGCAACAATGCCCGACTTGATCTGCTAAAATCATTGAAAGCTTTTAGATCTACTCTGGGTGGAATACATTTCCCTATTGGGAGTTCTCCATGCTGGTGAAATCATATCCTCTTTCCCATATGTAAGTGTAATAATGATAATAATAATAATATAACGGGTTTGAAAACTGCTTGGCCTCCTGGGACTGTAGTTTAGAGGAACAAGCATTTCCAGCACTGAGAGAGCTTTAGGAGCGCTCCTCCTTCTGCACTGCAAATCCCAAAATGCTAATAGTTCTCAAACTCTTATCATTATCTACCCATATCTATGAGGGAGAAGCATATAGAATCATCCTGGAGCTTAGAGGCATGATACTTCTCTAAAAAGAGAGAATTACATTAAATGATCTCTGAAGTCCTTTCTGTATTGTATAATCTATCTAGCTTCCCTTTAGGCAATGGAGTGGATTGCATTGTCTGCTTTTTCTGCTGAGATTTTATTTAGAAAATTTCATGAAAATAACAGATGGAATTTTTCAAACTCTAGTAGTCATGAGACATTCAAGGGTATATAGATAAAATAGATGGGGAAAAGATAATGATAGTGGGATACATATCTTCTGATTATAAAGAATGTTTATTAGTTAAGAAATATTAAAAGTTTCCCCAAAGTCACTTAGGTCAGCATTTTCCCACAATGAACAATAAATTAATACCTCTGTGTGTGTGTGTATTTATTGTATGTATGTATATATGTATATATATATATACACATACACATTCATTGTGTATATATACATATTGTATATATTACATTATGAATATGTACATATATAGCTTCTCTTGTAATAGCTGACATTTATAAAACATTTTACATAGCTTATTTCAGTTACACAGGGGTAACCCTTGGAGTAGTTTCAGTTAGCTTTGAAGTCAGAAACATGTGGTTTGAAGTTCTACCCCAGACACGTCCTGGCTGTATGGGCCAAAGTTACCTAATTGCTCATTGTACCAAGTTACTCACTCTATCAGACTGTAAATTGCAGAGAAAATGGTGGTCTCCATTGGTAGAGGGAGTTCTTCACCTAGAGTCCCTGGCATTAGTAAAATCACAGATCCAGGAGGGAAAATTAGTGATCATTGTCTAGTCTGATTCTTTTCTTAAATTGTCATGCACACATTATTACTTATCTGAGGGCTTTTCTTGAAAGGGTTTTATGTAGAAAGACTTCCACAATCTAAGACAACTCCAAAAGTCTCATGATAGAAAATGCTATCCACATCCAGAGAAAGAACTATAGAGTTTGAATGCAGATCCAGCATACTATTTGTTCTTTTTTTCCTTATGTTTTGTTTTGTTTCCTCTTTCTTGTGGTTCCTCCTATTGATTCTAATTCTTCCTTACAACATGACTAATGAGAAAATATGTTTAATAGGAATGTATATGTAGAACCTATATCAGGTTGCACACTGTCTTGGGGAGGGAAGAGGAGAAAAATTTAAAACTCAAAAGTGTGTGGAAGTGATTGTTGAAAGCCAAAAATAAATTAACAAATATATATAACTTTTTTAAATTAAAAAAAGAGAAAGACTTCCATGTAGAGGCTAACTCCCACATAGGTCAATGACCAAGGAGGGAGTTAGCTATCAGCTTTGTACTGCATTCCCAACAGAGTCAACAGATAAAATACAGAACATGGATGAAATTTATAAGATCGCCTCCACAGAGAGGATCCAGCAGTTGGAAAAAGAACTAGAGGTTCAGTTGGCTGAACTTAAAGCAGAAATACAAGAACATGGAGCTCTTAAGAGATCACCCCATTGGCCTTACAGGTAAAAAGTAATGTCTTACCAAAACAAACTGGAAAATGACTCCTAAGTGTAATCATTGTGCCATCATTAGGCATAGACAGGAGGTCTGTGGCATGCCGTAGAAACAAGAACATTGGTCTTGAAAACAAAAGACCTCAGGTTCAAGTTCCAGCTCAAAGCAAGGCAAGACAAGGCAACAAGTATTTATCAGGCATTCTTTAAGAGCCTGGTACTCTGCTTAACAGCTGGGGATGCCTCGCTACTCTTAAGGACTTTATATTCTAAAGAGGGAAGACAATATCCAAAAGGGAGCTGAAAAGGGAGGTGGGAGGTAGGTACCTGTGCCCCAGTAGAATCCTGCGAGTCAAAAACAGACCTGAGATAGGAATGAAGGATGACTGGCCTGGACCTGTTCCCAAAATGGAAGCCCCAGAAGGAAGTCACCAGTGGGACAAGGGTGTTGGAGTGGTCAAAGGATGGTCCATGGTGAGAAGGTCCCAGGTACTGAGGGAAATTCTAGGGTAAGAATGTCATGGTGACAAAGTTGGGGAATCAGAAGCCAAGCTGGGAGGAGAATGAAGCATGGCTGGCCTGGGACCATCTCCAACTCATTCTAGTGTATATGGTGTAGTGGAAAGAGTACTGGATCTGGAATGATAAAACCTGGGTTCAAATCCCACCTCTACTACTTAATGCCCTGTGTGGTCTTGGACAAACCATCTCCCTGTGATGGTCCTCAGTTGCCTCACGTGCCAAATGAAAGAGAGTAGCTGATTCTTTCCAGTTCTAAATCTATGATCTACTAGAAGTCATGTAACATTTCCGATTCCGTGACTTAATCTGTAAAATAAGGATGTTCATACTTCTACTACTGGCCTCACAGGGTTGCTGGGAAGATCAAATGAGATAATGATTTGTAACCATGAAGTGTTATTTAAATGTAAGCTGCAATGATTGTGCTCTTTGAGAAAAGTTTATTTTCTCCCAAAGTATTTTAATTTGATTTGATTCTGATTCTCATAATAAGTTTGAAAAGCATGAACAAAAAAGAATTTTTCAGCAAGGTAGTTTGTCACTAATTTTTTTATAGAGTGAGTTACGCTTAAGGAAACAGGATAGCAATAGATAACCTTTATATATGCTTTAAGGTTTTCAAGGCACTTTATATAAATAATCTCATTTGATCCTCACAACTCTGAGAGGTAGGGGCTACAATTTATCCTCACAAAGAGCTTGTCAGCTGCGGTCGGAATATATTGCTACACCAGGGGCTCATTCCAGCACTACTTGCTATCTATTACAGTATCTGTTAACACTCTTGGTTTACATAATCTTTCTACAGCTCTATCAGGTTACCAAAGGACGTTTCTTACTTTAGGAAAGAGAGGGAACTGGCATTGAGGAAAAGCTTACAGGTAAGTGAGAAGATGAAGAACATTGCTATTGAAAGCTACTTATTAAAAATTGTTGGCAAAAGTTCCCTGTGCCTGGGGACACAGGAATACAGGGGGCAGGAGGGGGCAGTGAATGTGAGCTGAGCAGGTAACTTTACCAAAACTTGCACCTGAGAGCTCTTCACAGACCATCCTCCCCCAAACTCGAATACATCAGTGTCTCAGATAAAGAGGAGATAACTTCTCCACCATTTTCTCCTAATTCTACTCCCTTCTGCAGCCAGCCATGTTGGTCACAGAGGCACAATTTACAGCCTGTTTCTCATGGAAGAGGAAGATGTTATCTACCTTTCCTTGACAGGACATAATCATACCATGTGCTAGGGTATGACGTTTGAAAGGACAAATAACAATGAGAGATACCTGTATGATATTATATTGTAAAATGAATGTTATTCAAAGTATCTGCTTCTAAGCTAATGCAATTTATTCATTATTCCAATAATGCTTTGAGTCCTCTATAATTTATTATAATTATACTTTTTTTTCTTTTTAACACCAAAAAAGGCATTAAAAATAAACATTTCAAAAGTAAAAAAAGAGAGCCTTCGGTAAGCAAAGGATTTGATTTTGTTTCTAAATAAGTGAAAGGAAAAATAAAGCAATTCCAATCCTGCTGGGTTGATGTGGGACTTTATTTTCCTGAAAACACATTTTTGGGAAATTTTTTTACAGTTTCTTAATTTCGGTTAGTATAATGTGTTGTTTGAAAAAGAAGAAGGAAGGAAGGAATGGAGGGAGGGAGGGAGGGAAGACGAAGGAAGGAAGGAAGGCCAATGTGTTACTCCACAAATGGATGAGAGAGCAAGAAAGGAAGATAAATAATGAACTAGATAAATTTTCCTATTATGTCATGTTGATGATTTTATTTCTTCTCCTTTTTATCTGTCTGGTGTTGGGTTTGAGGTGGGTTACCTTTGTCTCTGGTGTGCAGGTGGCTGAATCAAAGCCCCTTGTTGTTCAAGCAAATGTCCTGCAGAGGGAGCTAGAAAGCTGTTTAAGGAAAGAATATACAGTTGAAAACTTACCTTTGCTTTTGCACCAGGTAAGTGTCTATTTCCTTCTGTAGAGCTAAGCCTGGTTTTTACCTTTAGTTTGCTCAAAGCCATACGTGTGGCTTCTCTCCAAGCCAGAGAGGAATTTTCCTTAGATGATTAGCTTATTTGAGAGTCTCGTTTGTATACACCTTTTCTTTTAGTGCCCTTTACTGTCATAGCTGGCTACCATAACTGTTTCCACATGTAACTAAAATGTCAGACCTAAAGTTAACAGCTTTAATCTTACCTTTGAAGTATCCATAATAACGTCATTTTTAAAGGAAGGTTTCAGGTCAGAAGCTAATTATAGAGTTTGTCAAACTTTTGAGACACTGATAAAACTTTGGAACAGGAAATTACTTCCTACAACAGGGTCTTTGGCACTTAGAATAGCCAAAACTTTCCCTGGGGCAAGAGCATAAAATGTACCCTCAAACCAGCACACCACCATGCCACAAAAAAGAAAGAGCTTAGGAAGTGGGGCAGGGGAAGGAGAAGGGTGGAAGACTGAAAAAAGGGAGAGAAGGGCCAGCATAAATGAGGCAAGCAGACCAAACCAGGGAGGTGCTTGCTTACTTGGGGTGGGAAGTGAATAAGCATTTATTCTATACAGTGTCTACTATGTGCCAGGCACCATGCTAAGCGCTTTAAAAATATTATCTCATTTGATCTTCACAACAACCCTGGGAGGTAGTTATGATTTCTGTTTTACATTTGAGGAAACTGAGGCAAACAGAGGTTAAGTGACTTGCCTAGGGTCACATATCTAGTAAATGTCAGGTCATATTTGAACCCAGGTCTTCCTTACTCTAGGCCCAGCTCTCTATATACTAAGCCACCTGGCTATCTAAATGAAGCAAGCAGTCATCTGGTAGCATTCTACTTTAGCTAAGTTTTCTTGCTAACCTGTTAGAAGTGAGGTGGCTAGAGGATAGAGGGCCAGCCTCAGAGGCAGGGAGAGCTGAGTTCAAGTGATATCATTAATACGTACCAGTTACATGACCATGGGCAAGTCACTTAACCTCTCAATACCTCAGGCATCTATGTAAGATTCCAAGTTACAGAGAGGTATCTCTGTGGGTGGAAACAGTTTCAACACTTGTAGTTCCCAAGACTGATGAAATCATAGGTCTAGAACACTGTGACAAAGTTTAATTGTCTGGTCTTCCTTCTACTAAAGCACCATAAGTGCTTTCAGTATCTTCTAAAATCAGTACTCTGGGATAAAACCTTATTTGCCCTGCCTTGGTTATGACTGTTGTTATTTTAGCAGGTCATGCAGATGAAAAGTACCAGTTGACTTTTGAAAAATCATCTTGGTTAGTGAGCTTGAGTTGGGTTTTAATTTTACAGGAGAGAAAAGAAATAACAGTGAAAAAACACTGGATTTGGAGGCAGAGGACCTGAGTTCAAATCCCACTTCTGCCCCTTGCGCGACACTGGGCAAATCACTTAACCTCCCTGTTTCCTTGTCTATAAATTGAAGGAGCTGGACTAAATAGTCTCTAACATCTCCTCCAGCTCAAAATCTAAGATGGTATGATCTTCACATTGTACAAAACTAGGTGGCCCAATGGATAGAGCACTGGGCCTGGAGTCAGGAAGACCTGAGTTCAAATCCAACCTCCAGTACTTACTTAGGTGTGTGACTCTGGGTAAGTCCTTTAACCTCCATCTTCCTCAATTCTCTTATCTGTAAAATAAGGACGATAATAGCATCTACCTTCCCAGGTTGTTATGAGGGTCAAACGAGATAACAATTTCAAAATTTTTACACGGTGCCTGGCACATAGTAAGCACTATATAAACATTAGCTATCATTGTTATGGTTTTCAGAACTGATCAATCATTATGTAATCAACAAGTATTTATTAATCACCTACTGTATGCCAGACACTGTACTTGGCACTGGAGTTACTAAGATGGTTCCACCTGCTTTCATTGCTTTCAGGCTTCTGATCCATCTTCGTAACATGAACATAGGCTGCTGGTCAATGTTAATATGTGGTTGTTTAAAGAGAGAATTACCCAGTTGGTCCAGAGCAAATACTTACACATGCTTAGATGGAAGAGGTTCTGCCAGCATAGCAGCATCATGGAACAACTTTATCCTCTTTACCAGGTAGGAAGCTTCAGGATCAGATGAGCCTATGTGCCATTCTATGGGATGTAAGGTTCTCTTTAAAATCCAAATGGTAAATCCAAAAGAAGATTGTCAGATTTCAAAGTCAGGACTAGAAATTTATAGATGAGCCTACAGTTGGTTGATGTGGCAGCAAATCTTGGTGTCCCAAGATTGCCTATTTACTTTTTAAAAATGCATCTCTGAGTTGGATTTGTTGCCCATGAAACAAGCTGAGAAATGCTTTTTCTTTGCAGAAAACTGTTTGTCTGTTCAGCTGAGCACAATTCATTCAGTGCTAAAGTAAGCTAAACAGCAGATTTCTGCTATCAAAGCCAATAGTTGAAGAATGAAACCCCCAAAATTAACTCTTTCCTAGAGTTCTCTTCCCCACCCCACCCCGCCCAGATCTTAAGAATGTGACCTTTCCCTCTTTCCCAGGTTCTTATGAAATATGGAAGAACCTTTGGAAAAAAGAACCTCTTATTAACCACTGACACAAAGATGGTATGATAGGGAGAATACTGAACTTAAGAAAAGCTGGGGTTCAAAGGCTATTGCTGACACTAGCAGTGTGACCTTGGACAAGTTAACTTCCCTGAACCGGTTTTCTCACCTACAAAAACACATGATACCTGACTCACAGGACAGTTGGGAGGAAATCCCTCTGTGAACCTTAAAGTACTATATAAATGAGAGTTGTTGCCTTTCTTTGTGTGCAGTTAGTAAATGTTGATGGAGTGAAATTGCAGAGATAATTATAGATTAGAGTGGGAAGTCCAGTTCTGTCTCTTTCTTTCTTTTAAACAGGAGCAGGTTGGGCACATTATGCAGGAGTACAATGATGCTGTTCAGAGAGCTGAGAGGCTGGCTGTTGCCAGAGAAAACTTACTCACTGGAAAGAACAGTCCTGGGCACCTGGTAACACAGGAAGATCTGGTTATCTATACCAAGTGGCTAGTATGTCACCTACATTCACTTAGAGACATTCACAGCTACCTGAGGGTAAGAGAAGAAGTGACTAAAATACCCATTCACTTTATTTTTTGTGAGGCAGTTGGGGTTAAGTGACTTGCCCCAGGTCACACAGCTGGTAAGCATCAAGTGTTAGAGGCGATTTGCACTCTGATTTTCCTGATGCCAGGGCCAGTGCTCTATCCACTGTACTACCTAGCTGCCCCTGAAATACCCATTTATGCAAATCAACAAACATTTCTTAAACTCCTTCTATGTGCTAGGCACTGGGAATACAAAAGACAGAAAGGAAACGGTCCCTGCCCTCAAGAAGCTTACTTTACTTGTGGAAACAAGTTGTACAGAGATAAGTAAATACAGTTTCTAGATTAAATAATTTCGAGGGCAGGGCAGTAACAACTGGGAGTCACCTCTTGTGGGAAGTGGCTCTTAAGCTCAGAGAAAAAAGGGATTCCAAGAGGGAGGAGCCATTCAGAGGGATAGAGGTGGGAATTGATAGGTTGTGTACAAGGAACAAGTAGATAAGTTTGGCTAGAACATAAGAGTACATGAGAGAGGGTAATGTGAAATCATTCTCTAGAAATACAAGTTCGAGGCAGGGTGTGACTGTAATACACCTATGAACTTCTGTCTCCCTTGGGTTTGGTTTGACAGTGTTTCTCTGCTCCATTCATCCTTTTCAGGAAGGTGACAATGAATACCATGTCTCTCACCTCCTCCATGAAACCTTTCAAGACTAATTCTCACTGTCTTTTGTCACTCTAGCAATTCCAACCATCTTTTTTTTCCCTTTCTGGGCTCCTCAAATATGTGTATGTGCAAGCTATATTAGACAAGACCAGAAAATTACACAAGAATGAATGAGCTCTTTAGATGAGAGTGAAATATCTCAGTTCAACTAAGAGAGAGGTCCTCATCTCCTGAAGTCTCTATGGAGTCAAACTGGAAATCAGGGAGATACTGAGGTGCTAGCTCCTCTACATGTCTGCACCTTCTGAAAATCTCTGTCTCTCTTTCTGCCTGCCTGTCTGTCTGTCTGTCTGTCTGTCACTCTCTCTGAGTATGGGATCATTTGTGCATATATGCCTGTTTCTCAAAGCAAGAATGAAAAATGTCTTCCTTTGCCAAAGCTCTTCATGTAGGCACTCAGCATTGTTATCATTCTTTCCACCGATTAGAAAAATCACACCTAAGCAGAAACTCAAAATGCCTCAGTCTTAAAATCCAAGTTACACATATGAGAGATACTATACTATATCAGCCTATTACCAGCACCCATCATCCTACTTCCATGATCCTAAATGCTGAAATTCCCATCTTTGATCTTAACCCCCTAACCTTCTGCCTCATGCCTCCTAAATTTATTCTTAGTGTTTACTGGGAGATCTAATCTCTCCACTACTCCCTTTTCTCTGAGTCCTTCAGGGCTATGTTAGCCCAACTTCTCAGTTTCCATAGTCTTCATCAAGTAGTCAGTTAGACTGTGAGCTCCTAGAGACTTAGAGATCTGGCTTTTTCTTTCTTTCTTTCTTTGTATTCTCAGAGCTAAACCTCTACATTTGTTATTCAGTCGTTTCATTCATGTCCAATTCGTTGTGACCCCATTTGAGATACTGGAGTGGTTGACCATTTCCTTCTCTAACTCATTTTACAAAGAGGAAATTGAGGCAAACAGGGTTAAGTGCCCGGAGTCATACATTTTCTGAGGCCAGATTTGAACTCAAGATGAGTCTTCCTGACTTCGGGCCTGGTGCTATATCCATTCTTTCCACTGCTCTATCTAGCTGTCCACCTCTTCAACCCAATTCACTCCGGATCTCATGGATTAGACAACAATAGGTCCTTGCCCAAGCCACACTTAATGGTTATTTTTTGGGCCCTCCTGGCTCAGAGTGAATGTAAATAGAAACTGTTTCTCTTTTGGCCAGCAGCCCCGAGGGTCTTCCCCTCTCAGTTTGATTATTTATTATTATTGTTATTATTAAAGGGGCGATCCCTTGACTCACTTCTTAAAGAGGCCTATTCACTGAATGGGCATTGCCTGAAAAGACCTTAGCTTAAAAGGGCCAAGGTCTCCCACTTTATCCTGGGCCATCTCTAGTTGTCCTAAACTATATCAGGCCACTGGAGCTGTAGTGAGGCTGGTGACTTTGCATAGCCCTCTCTCACTTAAATCAGTCAATTGCAAGTCATGTCATCATCTCCCTGATGTCGTGGTGCTCTTTGAGAACAAAGAACACACACACACACACACACACACACACATAGTAGATGCTTAATTAATGCTAGTTGACTGACTGACCAATTCATCAATTCACATTTCTCTGCCCTTTGAATACCTTACTCTCTTTTCCTTTTATTCCTAGTACCTTCCCAAACTTGTACTTGGCTTACTGTTACCATTTGCCTTCTCTGCCTTCATGCTACTGAATACTGCTGGAGGAAGTTATACAACCCAACTATGGTAATTGGGTCCACTACAAAGTGATGATATCCATTCTAAGTTGGGCCCTCCCGGCTGCACAGAAAACCTCCCTTTCTTATCAGACTGTCATACTCCTTACAGCAGCTATTATAACCCTTTTCTTTCCTTCAGCTCCCTGCACCACCTTCTTTCCATTTTCTCTCAGTGAAGACCCTTCCATACTTTATTGAAAAACTGAGGCTATCTGCCCTGAGCTCTCATTTCTCTCTACTCTGCAATTCACAACTCCTCTGAATATCTTCTTTTAGCTACCATAAGCTAGACATAAACTAACTGGCTTATAGCATTATACCTTAGAGGTAGAAGAGACTCCATAAATATATGTTGAATTAATTTTCTCTAGTCAATGGAAAGAGCTCTAGATTTGGGAACCTAGGTTTGAATCTTGGCTCTGCTATTTATTACCTCTATGACCCTGGGCAAGACCCTTGTCTTCCCTGGGCTTGATTTCTCATCTGTAAAATGGGACATTTCAGCTAAATGACCTTTAAGGTTCCTTCTGTTTTTAAATCTATGATTCTGTGAGCCTTTCTTGAACTACTTTAATATCAAAATTTCTTAGCTTATAATTAATTGATTGTATTATATAATTATGCTATGATTTTCATATAATAATATATGTTATATTATATAATTATATTATAATCAGTTGATTAACTGATAGCATTTATCCTAGACAACCATAGGAAGGGTAGAGGAGTAGGGAGGTAGAGGAAGCAGTACTTGCAGAACATCAGACTGAGATTTAAGAGGGACAAGTTCTATCTTCATCTGTGCTACTAACTAGCTATGTGACCTTGGGCAAGGGACTTAGCCTCTGAGCTTTAGTGTATATGTGTATATATATATTAAATATATAGTTGGTCTATCACCTAAGTTCAAAAAACTAGAATTACAAAAATGTATCAATAGTAACATAATAATAGTAAGAGACTTTAATATTCCTTTCTGAGAATGAAATAAATCCAACAAAAATATGACAAAAAAGAAAATATTGAGTTGACTAGATTGGCAGAAAAATTAGATTTGACTGACCTGAGTATCTTCTGAATTAAAAAGATGTATTAAAAGATTTATGTATTTCTCAGCATGACAAGGTAACTTTATAAAAACTGATCATATGCTACAGAATGAGTTATTAACAAATATAAAAAAAATCATGATAAATACATCTTTTAAAGACCATAGTACAATAAAATAGCAATTAATAAAAGGAATATAGGCAAAAAAAAATACAGACCTACTTAGAGACTAAGAAAATGCTGAATAATGAATAGAACAAAGAATAAATCATAAAAACAACAGTTTTGTTAAAATGAAAGCAAGGATTAAAAAAGACTTAAAAAAAAAGACGGTACAACTGATAAAACTAAGATCTGGGTTTTTTTTAAATATGACTAACAAAATGGATAAACGATTACCTAGCCTGGTCAAGAAAAGGAGAAAGGAAATTCAAATTACCAGGGAAAAAAAATGAACAAGATAAGTTCACAGCATACAGAAGGGAAATAAGAGTTACAAGAAACTATGTTAAAGAATTCTATGTCAGCAAAACTGAGAATTCAAAGAAAGTGGAAGAGTACCTACAAAAATACCCAAATTAATAAAACAAGAACTAGAAATACTGAACAATCTCAACTCTAAAAGAGAATTCAAGTAAGCTATAAATGAACGGCCAAAACAAAACAAAACAAACCAACCTAGGCCAAGTGGTTTTACAAATGAGTTCTTTAATACATTTCTTTAATTCATTTAAAAAGCAATTAATACCTATGGTATAAATCTTCTCAAGAATAAAGAAGGCAGTCTGCCAAACTCCATGTATGAACTAGATATGGTCCTGATATCAAAACCATGGGGAGACAAAAGAAAGGAAAAACTATAGACCAATTTCATTTTGCTTTAATACTTATTGGTAATAAAATTTTAAATAAAATTATTGTAAGGAGACTACAGAGATATATCCAGGAATAAATCATTATGATTAAGTTGGATTCATACCAAGGATACAAGGATAGTTCAACACTAGGAAAACAATTAGTATAATTAATCATATGAACAAAACAAAAAAATAGCAAAACTCACATTGATTAATGACCAAACATTTATTAGACACTTACATTGTGACCGGGGTAAGGATGTTGAGGTTTAGGGGTTTTGGGGTGCTGGACCCCAAAATCACAACACACAGGTCCTGCCTGAATGAATTCAACCCAAGCCTTCTTTCAGCCAAAGACAAGGTTTATTACAGCATCTGCCATATTGACCAGACTCTTAAGGAGTCTGAACATTAGTGAGCTATTGGCTAGATTACAAGAATCTGAACAGTGGCTAGATTTTAAGAATTTGAACACCTTAATGGAGACAAGATGGACCTTATATACATGGCCAAGCAGTTTGGGGTGACTGGAGGAGGGGTCTGAGTATCTGGATGGGAGTGGCCAGTAAGCTGGGGTGAACAGAAAGCCTGGGACCTGGACCACGGGGCCAAAGAAGAGTGGAGTCTAGATAGGATTAAGGGTGGGAAGTGGCCAGGGCCAACTGGAGGTGGATTGGGTATAGGAGATAATGAAAGGCCATTTGATAGGATTATAGACTCAGGTGAATGCCAGAAATTTGGCCATGTGGGAAAGTCCTGGGTTTTTTCTTTTTGGGGTCCAAATCCCATCCTTATCAGGGATACAAAAATAAAAAAAATGAAAAACACGGTCTGTGCCCTCAAGGAGCTCACATTCTAATAGGGGAGACAACATGCAGGTGACTATGTACATACACAATGGCAGGTAATCTCAAAAGGAAGAAACTGGCACTAAGAGGGACCAGCGAAGGCCTTCTGCTGAAAATAGGATTTAGATTGAGTCTTAAAGGAAGCTAGCAAAGCCAGGAGATGGAGGTTAGGAAGGAGCCCATTCCAGGAATGATTGGGAGCGGGAGATAGTGAGTTGGGAGCTGAGAATAAGTGTCTTATGTAAGGAACTTCAAATAGATCAGTGTCTAAAAATCATATAGGTGGGTAGGTAGTATGATAGATAGTTGTATGTGTGGAGAAAAAAAAGATGTATATTAGATGTATATGCTATTCTAGGTGGCTCAGTGGATAGAATGCTAGGCTTGGAGACAGGAAAATTCATCTTCCTGAGTTTAAACCTGGCCTCAAACACTTATTAGCTGAGTGACCCTGGGCAAGTCACTTAACCCTGTTTGCATCAGTTTCTTCATCTGTAAAATGAGTCAGAAAAGGAAATGGTAAACTGCTCCAGTATCTTTGCCAAGAAAACTTCAAATGGGGTCACAAAGAATCAGACTAGAGTGAAACGACTGAACAACAACAAATGAAGATAGAAACAAGAGTTGAAAATGGATTGGGATTGTGGGTGAGTGTGAGACAGGAGCTGAGGGTGACTCTGAAGTTTCAAGCCGGAGTGACTGGGAAGGTGATGGTGCCCCTTAATAATAATGGGAAATTAGGAATAGGGGAGGGCTTGGTGGAAAGATGAGTTATTCTGGATCTGCTGAATCTGAGATGCCTACAGGCATTAGATGCATAAAAAGCCTTTGACAAAACGCTGCACTCATTTTTAACATAAATGCCTAGAAGGCATAGGCATGAAAGGGCTTTTGTTTACTGTGATTAAAAGCATTTATCTAAAAGAACTAGGAGCTAGCATTATTGGCAGCAGAGAAAACACTAGAATCCTTGCCATTATAAGCAGGGGATGAAACAAGAATGCTGTCTCTCCTCACTATTATTTGGTACAGTCTAAGATTGCTAGCTTAACAATAAGACAAGAGAACAAAATGCAAAGTATAAATATCAGCAAAGGAGAAGTAAAGTTATCCCTATTAGACCATGACATGATGATATACTTAAATACCCCCATAGAATCAATAAAGAAACTAATGTAGCAGGATACAAAATAAATCCACAAAAACTATTAGCATCAGAACTAACAAAAACTGGGAAGAAATAATAAATGAAATTTCATTCCAATGACCATTTGGAAGCTTGTGAAGTTATAAAGCATAGCTTTAGCTTAATACTACATTTGTTCATTAAGCATTCATGAATGACGAGAGAAAAGCAGGCTAAAGAACAAGAGAATTCTTCATCTTTGGCCTGGCTACTGAAGTTCTTTTTTCATTCACATCCTCCTGTATCATGTGTACATATGCTTGTGTGTGTATATACACACATATGTATGTGTATTTTTATAAACAAAGGTGCATTATCTCTGTGTGTGTGTGTGTGTGTGTGTGTGTGTGTGTGTGTGTGTGTAAAATAAAGTCACATCTCTAAGCCTGACATGGAGCTTTCTAATGTTTTCTTCCTCAGTTTGCTTTTTTGTCCGCAGGTGTTACTGTACCTGCCCAGATCTGATAGGTTGGAAGTGGCTGTACAGGAACACCCTGAGGTGGGTCAAGAAAATGGAGATGTGTACACTAGACATGTAGCCCCTGAGTCTCTGTCTGCTGACAACCAGAATTCTGGCTATCCAGCTTCTTCAGAAACCAGCACTTCAGGTGAAAAATTACTCCACCTTTCATCTTTGAAAATGGAGGAGAGATGTGTGTATGTATGTATGTAAAAGTTTGTCATTGTAAATATGAGGATTGCTTTGGTAGTTCAAGGTTGAATCTGTCCTACATACTGTCAAGTTACATTTCAATTATATTAGAATTATAGTAGCTTAATGGGCTAATTAGGATGCCCCAGCAACTAATGTGCAGCATGAGAATCATAAGCAATTTTACAAATTAGATTAATGTTCATAGTTCTGATTTAAAATATCAAAGTTTACTAGGAAAATATAAGAAGTAAGATAATATTTGTAAAAGCATTTAACACAGTACCTAGTATGTGGCATGCACTATATAAATGTTTATCCCATTCCTCTTCCCTGATGTGTGAAATATACAGTCAGACATTCTCATTCACCAACAATAAATGATCATCAGGGCTGAAGATAGGAGACATTATGAAAAGTGATTAGAGAAAATTGATATCTTTTTTCTGATTCTCAGAATCATTTCTAAAATAGCTTCTAAATTTTCATTTACTATAAATTCCCTAAAGAAACAGAGAAGGTTATTCCATGGAGCTGAGGGACCATTACATTGTCCCCAAGCCTAAAATAGGCTAATTATTTTAACTTGGTGTGACTGATTACATCTCAGGAAACAACGCCAGTAGAGAAAAGGGTGGAATTGACTCTCATTGGTCACCTTTATCCTCCCCTCAAAGAGATACCCTATGTCCACCAGTGTTACACCAAGAAAACAATAATAATAAGAAGATAGGTTTTTGTGGGAACAAAGCAGGTTGGGATTGTTGAAAGCAGTGTCCAATTTTACAAATATTGGTCAGTCAAGAAACATTTTTAAATGCCTACTATGTTCCAAGCACTGTGCCAAGTGCTTGGGATACAGGATGAGGCAAAAAAGAGTCCCTGCCCTGGGGCAACTAGGTGGCACAGTGGATAGAGCACCAGCCCTAGAGTCAGGGGGACCTGAGTTCAAATACAGCCACAGACACATAACACTTACTAGCTGTGTGACTCTAGACAAGTCACTTAACCCCAATTGCCTCTCCAAAAAATAAAGCAAAACAAAACCAAAAAAAAAAAAGAGTGAGAGAGTCCCTGCCTTCAAGGAGCTTACAATCTAATGAATATGATCCAGCCCAAACTCCTTCTCCTAATCAGTTCTAAGTTCGACTCTATAGTCAATGCATAACATCCATCCAAGATTGATGAATATATTAATGAAAAAATTCTACAGACTGCCATTCTGCATGTCATAATTTGGGCAAGATATGTTTTTCCAATGTGAGTATTTAGACCAGTCTCTTTAGCATTGCTGTAAATTTTGATGAGGAAGGCATTATATTTCTCTAGGACTCTATGCAATTACTATAAAGCCACTGGGAATTTAGACAACTTCCCTGTTGATAGTAAATCCTTCTTTTGTTTGTACTGCATGGAGGACCCCTTTCATAGCTAAGACAAGCTTAAGTGCCCTATACATGGTTTCCCATCTCTTTTCTCTGTAGTTTTGCACAAACTCATTCTCCCCCCCCCCATGCATGAAATGCCCTTGCTTCTTACCTCTACCTCTTGGAACCTCTGATTCCCTTTAAGCCTCAGTTCAAATGTCATCTCCTTTAAAAGGCCTTTCCTGATTCCCCAAGTTGTTAGTACCACCTCCCAAACACTGCACATTTACTTTGTAAGTATACTGTTTTTACATATCTGTTATCGGATTCTATTTCTCCAGTAAAATATAAACTCTGAGGGCAGGGACTGTCTTCCTTTTATTTTTGTATCACTTTGTAGCACCTAGAACAGTGCCGGACACATAAGAGACACTTAATAAATGTGTGTTGGTTAATTGATTTTTGATAAATCTCCCTAGTTTGATGTTAATACTGAGTACATCATGGAACAAAGCTGTCTCTGTAGCCATACCTGCCCTAAATTTCTATGTTTTCTTTTCATATTTATGGACTACACTTTGTTTAATGAGAGCCTTCAGTGCTATATATTGTGTTAATGCATCCAGTACTATTTTTAAAAAATACACAATAGTAGCAGTGGAATCTTGCATTCTCTAGACCTCTTAATCAATTGTATAACTCTAATTGATTTGGCATGTTATAGAAAATGGTCGGGGGCAGCTAGATGGCGCAGTGGGTAGAGCACCAGCCCTGGATTCAGGACAACCTGAGTTCAAATGTGGCCTCAGACACATAACACTTAACTAGCTGTGTGACCTTGGGCAAGTCACTTAACCCCATTGCCTAGCCAAAAAAACAAAAAACAAACAAACAAACAAACAAAAAGAAAATGGTCTACAAAAACTTACCTGTTCCTCTCTCAGGTTTTCATCAATATCTCCCTTGATGGGTACAAAGACTATTTGTATAAAATTTTTAGATATATATGAAAGTAGCCTTATGGATTGGTGATTACTGATTTAATCTTGGTTACTTTTTAAAAACTAAATTAAAATACTATCAATGATCTTTTCCATTCTTTTGGAATCTTCTTCTCTCTGAGATATTGTGGAAATTGATCCTTGGGTGTCTTTGAAATTATACCATCTGTAACAGATTCCTTTTCCATGTACTTGGTCAGGTCCAGTCACAATCCCTGATTTTACCTTTTTAAGTGCCATTGCTTATTTTTCCTATAGCATATCAATTGGCAGAATCCAAATGTGGTGATTCCAATATTATCACTGTTGATCACTATGTAAATGCCGGCAGTTTTGTTCCATTTCATAGATGTTTCCTTTCCTTTTGACTTCATCTTCAAATGCTTTGGGTAAAAACTGACTTAGCTAGGTCTGAAAATGAGTTCTCTATAAGCTTATTTTTTCCTTATCTGCTTGTCACTATTTTGTTAGATGATGCAGATTATAGCATTCCAGCCTGGCTGTCATTTCCTTCCACTTGATAAAATCAACTATTTGCAAGATGATAATAGTTTCTAATTTCTTTTAGCATCCATGTGTTGACTATTTTGCTCTGGTTAATATTCTCTAAGAAATAATGATAGAGTCAATGGTTTTATGTTTGTTCTCTTCGCGTTTCTTAGAATCTGTATATTTAAAGAGATTGGATGAGAGCTACTACAGTCGCACAGTGTTATCTTTTTTTTTATTCTAGATGCATTATTTTATTTTCTAACATTCATTTATTTAAATTTTGAGTTCCAAATTCTCTTCCTGCCTCCTGCTTCTCCCCCACTCACTGAGAAGACAAACAATATCAGTCCTATCTTCTTACCTTTATGCTTTCCTCATTTGTTATTTGCCCTAACCAATGGGTGACCTGTCTGCCCATAGACAATTAGTTCTAAAATGACGGCCACATCCATAACCATTTGCTCCCTGACTTAAGATATAATCAATTTCATTTTATAATGTAATTTTATAATGTTTTTCATGATCATTGCTTTCTGACTGTCTTCTCAAAAAAATCTGTATAAGGGGTAACACAGTTTCAAAGGCTCTCAAGTGTCAATTTCTGTATCTCAAGGAGAAGATTCAAAAGAATGGAAAAGATCTCATATAGTACTTTTGTCCAAAAAAGTAACCAGAAGAAATCAGTAACTTACTGACCCATAAACCCTACTTTCATATCTCTTTAAACTCTTTGTGAGAATTGGCCATGTCTTTTTTTTCATCTCGGGAATACAGAGGAGTGGGAGATTGGTAGGAAGTCTCCAGATTGGCCTCTTTTTATGTCTCTATTTTTCAGCATAGTTTCCACTGTTCTCCATGGACCCACTCTCACATTGAAATAAGGTTCATCATAAAATCATAAAATCATCATAAAATTGTCTTCATCCTTTGTATAAATTGCACTTACCTTCCTGGTGATTTCTTTGTTTAGTATTATGAGAACCACAAGCTGAGAGGGCCAGCTGTCCATAAAATCACCCTTTTTGTTGCCTTTTGTCACCTAATGGAACCAGCTTCACCATTTGCTTCTCTGAAGAGTACCTGAGAGCTACCCTTCCATTTTAGCTGTAGCCTCTTTATGTTTTCTGGTTTCACTTATATTAAGAATGACAATATAGATGTCCTCCAGTAGTATATCAAATCATCGGTCAGAGATAACCTCTATAAAGACACTGAAGAGTTAAACTAATGTTTGCAGATGGTCTAAGAACTATGTTATTCTTCAGACTCCTCTGCAACTGTTAGGGATAGAGTTAAGGACAGGGATATGGACTAAACTCATACTTTCATTGATGTCAGAAATTCTCAAATGAGGTAGCGCTCTTTGACAATACAGTCCAAAGCCTTCTCTGCAACTTATAGCCTTAGAGCTGCCTAGAATACTATGAGGTTGAGTACCTAGTCTGGGGTTACGTGAGCCATATGGGTTAGAAGTAGGACTGTCATTTTGTTATGAAATATGATTTGATTTTATTTGCTTTTGTATTGTTCTTTTAAAATTGATTTATATGTACTTTGGGAAGCTTTCTGCTAAATACTATAGTATCTTAGCATATTATAATAATAACTCAGTTATAATCAGGAATGTGCTGGTAAATGTTTACAACAAGGTCTGGGGAGGGGGAGTATACATCACACACTTTTTTTTTTTTGGTGTGTAGGGCAATTGGGCTTAAGTGACTTGCCCAGAGTCACACAGCTAGTGAGTGTTATATGTCTAAGGCTGGATTTGAACTCAGGTCCTCCTGACTCCAGAGCCGGTGCTCTATCCACTGTGCCACCTAGCTGCCCCTACATCACACACTTTTAAGGTTAATCTACATTATTAATGTTTTTTCCATCAACAAAACAGTTTCCAAGGTGTAAGTGCTCATGCTGAAAATTTAACAATCGGCAAGCTAACAATTTAACAATCAGCATGCCCCTAATTATAGGGCGCTTTACTGGTTATAAAGTACTTTCCTCAGAATAATCCTGTGAGTTGGTGCAAGTATTATTATCCCCATTTGATGGATGAAAAAATTGACTCAGAGAATTTAAGTGACTTGCCCATAGTCACAGAATATTAGAGTCACATCTTAAACCCAGGTTTCCAGTCAGCGTTCTTTCTAGTACATTGTGAATATCACCTGAAGACAATTAAAACATGGGTGTTCCCTAAAAAGGCTGAGATCATCAGTTCCTTATCAGAAATATAATCCTCTTTTATAGCTTTGTTTCTGTGGGATAATCAGATCATACTTTCAACTTGAAGCAATTTCTAGAACATAACATGTTGTGATATGAAGACTACTTAGCATCTCTGAGGTCCTTTTTGTAATAAGTAGCCTGACTCCCTGAATCCTGCCCTCCCCCAGTTCCCATTTGGCCTCTGTTATCTGGAGACTTGACACTGCCCTAGGCTCTGGAACCAGAAATCTGGCTCCTAGGAGGAAGAAATAGAAGGAACAAAGGATCCATATTTGTGACATTATTATTATTATTATTATTATTAAATGTTGTTAATATGAATAGTGATTGATTGTGGTATTATTAATTAATAATAACCTTTGAATCCCCCTTGTTGCATAATCCTGGGCTCTAAATAAATATTGGATGAATGGATGAATACACAGCCCTCTGTCTGAACATGGTCTAACCAAATTCTTGCAATGTAGATAAAAATATGTAAAAGCAGTTTTGTTTGGGAGGCTTTTCTTCCAAATTCAGGCAAGAAAAATATCTCAGATCTAGAAAATTCAATGGGAAGAGCTTTTGTTCTGTTTCCCAACAGTCAAAATGAATAGTAGATAAGAATATTATTGTTATTGTAAGTAATTTGTTGTTGTTGCTTGTCCTTCATTTTTGAAGAGGACCATGACATCAGGGAGGTGATGCTTTGATATGCAAGTGAATTGGATTTAAGTGAGGGAGGGCTGTGCAAAGTTACCAGCCTCACTTTCTCTTTCGGAGCTATCTGGGTCCAGTGGGGACATATGGATCAGAATGACTGGAGATGGCCCTGGATGCAGTGGGAGACTTTGGCCTTTTCAAGCTAAGGTCTTTTCCAGGTCTCAGTTTGTCTGAGGCAACACTCCTTCAGTGATTGAGGCTTAATAAGAATTGAGGCAGAGAATGGCTTCTTTATCTAATCGAAATAAATAAATATAAGTAACAACAATAACCTACATTTGCAAAACACTTTCCTTGCAATAGCCTTGTGAGGCAAGTACTTCTTATGATCTTCATTTTACGTATGAAAAAAACTGAGGCTTAGAGAGGTTCAGACTCACCTAGGATCATGCAACTAATAATTGTCAGAGGCAAGTTTTGAACCCATGCTTCCTGATTCCAAGTCTAGTGTTCTTTCCACCTCACCACTACACAGATGTGGAGGAGAAGCTTCTTCCCACTGTTTCTACCAACTTCTTCATTTCCCCTCCTAGACATGTGCTTGTTGCTTTTTAGTATATTTGATTTTTGGTTTCTTTTTCAGGGTCAGTCAGAAAAGAAGCTACCACTATTCTGCCCCACCATAAAACAGAAGCCGTAGAACTGAAGCCTCAGCTAGGACTCCTTCTGCCTCATTTCAACATCTGCTACAACATAGAGGATCTAAAGAATTCTGCTGATGAGATGGAGCTCTTTTCCCTGGTACTGGAAAAACTCTGTATCTAAAAGAGAAGTGTGGAAGCAAGACTGGAGTCCAAGGAAGAGAAAGTGCTCCAAGAGAGTCCCCCCCACAGAGGGGTCCAAAGAGAGAGAGAGAGCTGTTTCCATAGTCCTTATAGACCACAGAAGGGGAGATTCCTCCAACAAGGAGCCTTTCCCCACTGACACTGTCACTCCCAATCATCTTCAGCACAGCCCTAGTCAGTGGGAACCAGTCAGAAATTTCCTGTGCCATCCCAGCAAGATGTATGTCTCTTTGGAAGGGTCCAGAGCACATGTCTAGCTCCTTGGGAGGTCCTCCAGCTCTATAAATTAGGGATTTCCTTTATCACTCCATTATACAGGGGAAAAAATATATATAGTTAATTAAAAACATTAAACATCAGTGCAAACAACAAAATTTATTTAGCTGCTATTTAAATTTAAATGATTTTCATGCATAAAATATCATAACATTGTTCATCATTCCCTCTGAGTCTCCATTTAGGATTTTTAAGGATTCCTGCTCTCACTACTTTTACTTGGTATAGTATGAGGAAATTCTATCAACTGTAATGAGACAGGGGAAATATACGAACAAGATTAACTTTAGAAAAAAAGAGGTCAAAATATCATCTGCAGATGACATGATGGTGTTACCTAGAAAATCAATCGCCTCAGCTCAAAGGCATTTTAGAATACAATGTTTGCTATTGTCCGAGAACCTGGTAAACCAATGGTCACTTTTTCAATCACCAAATTTCTGACACTTCCTCTGGGACTCTCACCTCCCTTTCCCTGTCCATTTTAAGTTGTTCAGAAGTTTCAGAGCATATTCTGTGAACAACAGAGATGGAAAATACTTCCAGCCTATGATGTCAAGGTGGCTAAAGTTGAAAACCGGAATTTATTAAAACCCAGCATGGCTTTTAAAAAGACAGCCAACTGGATTCCCTTCACAAAGGTAAAGATAGCTACCTGCTTCTGGTCTTTTGTCTCTTTATTGTGGGTTGTGGTAGGGCAACTGACAGATAAATTTCCAGGATGTCATGCTACTAAGCAGTTTTCAGAGCTAACAGGTCTCTATCCCCGCTCCTGGAGCAGAGTCCTGCAAGATGCAGGGAGAATCCAACACAGATTCTAGGTAAGCATTTAGTTTTCCATCTTGGGCTCCTAGGCTTATAAATCTGTTGCTGGAAGGGACTTCAGGGACCATCTAGTTCAATCTCCTCATTTTAAAGATAAGGAGACTAAGTCTCAGAGAAGTTAAGTGATTTTCCCAAAGTCACACGGGTAGTAAGCATCAGAATTGGGATTTGAACCCAACATGCATGTATTTTTGACTCATGATGTGCATGTGTCTGCACCAATCCATGTATCTCTTAGCATATCACATATACATATGTGTCAGTGTATATTAACACAAACCTAGCAGTCAAACTAACCTTATGTGTCACTGTCAGCTAGACTAGTATGAATTTTCCAGGGCTGTTTACGTTTTGGAAGAATAAGTAATTTTTTCAAATAGAATTGAGAGGGATTGCTTTCCAGTGGTAGAATTTCAAAGAGATATTTTGGAGCAGGGAAACTTTTCCTAAATCTTCAGATCACATTTTCTGCTCATGCATATACTTGATTATGATGTATTTAATATCCTTCATAACTAAAGATGTTGCAGTATTGTGTCTCAAACTGAGCTTCTGCATTTGTAAGAGGTATGCCCCAATGGTCAGCACCAGCTGCCAATGCAGCTGCTACTGCTGTGGTGTCTGTCTGTGTGTCTATGAACTTATTATACTGTTCCCACTGTCACAGTATCTTAGTTCTCTGACAAAAATTCCTCATCCCAGCCTCTACCTTCAATCATGCATTTCATTATAGTCTGGAACTTGACTGTTTGGGGGAATAATACTTGAGAATTTTGTTACATCATGATGATGATGATGATGATGATGATAGTGACGATGATGGTGATGATGAAATTGTCACATAGATTAAGCCAGAACGTGATCCTTGGCAGCAGAAGCTTTTGACCAAACTAAAAGAACGAAACAGAATCGATGCATTGATGCAACTGTACACAAAGTTTTTGAAGGTGAGGCTTGTTCTTTTTTAAATACTCTCAGTCTATCTTGCTGGAGTCATGTCCAAGAGATCTTAACTTTATTACTTAAATGTGAGTACGATGACTTATAAGAAGGACATCTCTAATGATGATGACAAATTTGGTCTTGCAGGGAGTAAGTGTAGTCTGATAGTAGAACAAATCTTATTAAAATAGCTTGAAGTAACACCACATCATGCTATTGAGAAAAAGTGTGATGCTTCTCCCGACCATTTGTCCTCTTCTTTGTTCCCATTGAGGTTTCCAACCCACTGCGAGTGATGGAGGCACTGCAGGCTCATGCATCAGCAGCCGTGGAGCCAGCTTCACCACTTCATTCCTTTGTGAATCCCCAGGGTATGGATCAGTGCACCTATGATCGAATCTGGGAGGAAATTTATAGCAACATCAACCTTCGCCAGGTATTACAGCTAGAAGTAACGGGCACACCTTTCAGCAAGCACATGGGGTTGCATATGTAGGAAATATGCAACGTTAGCATTTTACTTTGAAAACTTTTTGAGTGGCCCTTCCTAAAAGAGCTAGCTACATCATCCAAAACAAGAAACACTTATTTGTTCAGCACTAACTCCATCAGATGTCAGTGGATACAAAGAGACTCTTGCCCTCAAGGGATTTAAGCTCTATTTGGGAAGAAAGGACCTATCTTTTAAAAGACAGATGCTAATTAAAGGGAACATAGATTATGTGCCAGTAAAAGAGAGGCAGAAGAAAAATAAATTGTGGTCAGAGGGAAGTGCCAAGTTTTAAATCTTGGAGTTAGAGCAGCTGTTGAGTAATAGCAGTTAGACAGGGCGTGGTAATGCCAGTGGGTGGTGCTGTGGTCCATGGGGTCATGAAGAGTCGGACATGACTGAATGAATGAACAACACCAATAACTCCAGTGGGTAGCAAACATACTGAAGCTACAGTATGGTGTAGCAAATAGGGCTCTGGAGTAGGAGTCAAGGAGACCTATGTTCAAATCCTGCCTCAGATACTTCCATGCTAAGTTACTGGGTGTCATTTGTAAAAAATAAAGGTGTTGGGCTTGATGCCTTGTAAGGTCTCTTCCAGCTCTAAATCTACAATCTTATTAGACTGAGAAGATTGGAATGAAGCTGGAACCACTGTAATAGAGAGTGGCTATAGCGATAGAATCGAAGCCTCTCTATACAGATGACTCCAAAGCAGTATAGTCATCTTTATTCTCTCTTGAGCTCTAGTCTTACATTGCCACCAGTGGCCAGTTATCTCCATCTAAATGTCCTGATGGAACCTCAAACTCATCCCCTTCTTCCTAAAATTGCCCTGACTCCATTATTTCTCCACCATCTTTCCTGTCACTTAGACACTTGGTGTCATCTTCAACTCTTCTCCCTCCCCTCCCCCTATCCTTTTGATTCTATCTCTACAGTACCTCTCACATCTTGGTCTTCCTTTCTATTTACATAATCACTGTGCTGGTTTAGGCTTTTATTACATCTCACCTCATCTTCATAAATGGTTCCCCAACCTTTAATCCCTCTCCTTTCTAGTCCATTCTTCACATAGCTGCCAAAAATAATCCTATTAAAGCACATGTCTGGCCATGTCCCTCCCAGTCTTCATTAGTTCCCTTTGCCTCTAAATATGATGTAAACTCTTTAGCCAGCCATATTTCATATTATTCTCTTTCACGTGCTTCATGTTCCCCTCTACAAACAGATACTAATTGTTCCCTGATCTTTTCCTGCCTCCATATATTTGCATAAACCACCTCTTGTACCTTCTTATATCTCTCTATTGGAATCCTTCTCTGTCCTGAATCAATCAAGAAGCTTTTAATAGTTACTATGTGCCAGTAACCTTGTTAGGCCCCATACAAATATAAAAATGAAATAGATCTTGCCCTTAAGGAGTTTACATTCTGGGGAAACAACATATACATATATAATATATATCATATACCATATACCATATACACTTAGATACATATCTGTATATACATATAGTGTCTGTATATATATATATACAATCTATATTTTTAAAAATTTTTATTGGATATGTGGTTTTACAGGAGTACAGATTCCCAGTGACAAATTTTCTTCAGCAATGCAGAATGATGCCTTTCTAACTTGTGGTCTTAGAGAGTTGCCTGGGGCACTGAAGGGTTAAATGCTTTGGCCAAAGGAGGCCAAAGGAAGGAAGAAAAGTAAAAAAAGAAGGAAGACAGGAAATAAACATTTATGAAATGCCCATTGTGTACCAGGCATTGTGCTAAGTGCTTACAAATATTATTTCATTTGGTCTTTGTAACAAGCCTCAGAGGTGATAGGTACCATTATTATCCTCATTTTATAGTTGAGGAAACTGAGGCAAACAGAGATTAAGAAACTTTCCCAGGGTCACACAGCTAGTATCTGAGGCTACATTTGAACTCAGGTCATCCTGACTCCAGGCCCAGGACTTTATTCACTGTGCTACCTAGCTTCCTCTCTATATATCTGAGTTAAGCCTTCAGCATACACACACACACACACACACACACACACACACACACACACACATACACATACATATATGTATGTATTTTTATATATGTATGTATTTTATATATATATATGTATGTGTGTGTATATATATATATATATATAAATATATATATATATATATATATATGTTTATATATTTATATATCTTAGACAGACACTGTAGAAGGACAGTGAACTGGGCCCAGAATGGAATAGCACAAAAAGAATATTGATTTAGGAAAAGCTTGCACTTAGGAAAGCTGTTAACAATGGTCCTATTATCTACTCACATGCCTTTGTACAAAATATACGGGAAAGAACCTGGACCTGTGATTTCACTGATAAAGGGAACCTGTGGACAAGGAAACTCCCTCTACCAAAGCACCTTCCCTGTAGCTTATTGTCTTAGTTATCTGCCTAAGAACGCTGAAAGGTTAAGGGACTTGCCCAGGGTCACACAGCCAGTATGCATGTATCAGAGGAAGGATCCACACTCAGGTTTTTCTTTCTCTTGAGATCAGCTCTCTCTACACAAAGGTTTGGCTCCCTCTATACAAAATGGACGCAAAGTAAATAGAAAAAAGCATTTCAGATAGATCACAGCTTCTTAACCTATGTGAGTGTGTATGTGTGTGAGATGGATTTATTTACAATCTGGTAACATATATCCCTTCTCAGAATAATGTTTTTAAATGCATTAAATAAAATACATAGGATTAAGAAGAAAACTAGCCATATTAAATGCAGTTATCAAAATACTTTTAAAAATACATTCAGGGGGCCCAGGTTAAGAACTTCTGACCTAGACAATTTGAATTTCATCGAAAGCAGGAAATGCTGGGAATAGAGAGCAGTAACTACAGTGGAAGGAGGAAATCCGAGCAGTAGTGAGTGAGCTCGGAAAGGGTTCCTTCTCCTTTTGCCAGCTCTCCACTGGTCATGCCCACGGAGGGGAAAAGGGAGTTAGTCATTATTTTCTCTTTATATTTGCTGCTGCTTTCCTGCATTTGTAGAGGTAACAACGTTTGCCTGTAGCAAAAGGAAATATGGAGACCTTTGGCAAAGGTGTGGGTTGTATAAAACTGCCCAAATGTTGAAAAAGTAAGAAAACCACTTCCTCTGGCCCTTCACTGACTCACAGATGTTGTTCTTGGAACTGGCCAAGGAGAAAGCACAGCTCTGGGTACTGGATACATAAAACATTTTACAGTAAGAAGGCCTTAAGGAGTCTTAGGAACCCTTCCACTTCAGGGTCCTGAGGGGTAAATCAGCATCTTCACATCTCAGAAGCTCCTCAAGTCTTGAAAGAGGGGAAAGTGTCCAGCCCTTAACTTGGGCTTCCGTTATTTGAGGAGAGGAAATGCTTAGGAGCAGCTGCATAACTTCCAAATTGTTTTCTGTTGTACTTAAACAACAATAACTACCTTCCTACATATACTGTTTCATAGGAACTTCAGTGTGTCAGTTCACTGGGGCCACTGTGTCATGTAGCAGGGCCTTCTTCCTACTCCCTGACTTCTAAAAACAGCTCCGCATGTGGCCGTTGGCATGGAGATCAAGGTCAATGTTAGCCACTATAAGGAGCTCCAGGGGTGTGAATCTTATCACCAAGTGCTCTGTTGTTGGTTTGTAAAGTACTGAATGAATTTTCACAACTGCATATAGTTGGTTTTTTTTAACAACTGCATACTGACATATATCCCTCAGAGATGTCAAAAGAAACACTTCTGAAGTTGTCAAGTCACAATATGTATCTGGTTAACACTGATCTGAAGGAAGAGAGCAAACATTTATTAAGCTCCTGCCTGCAGACACTCTGTGCTAAGTGCTTTACAAATATCATCATTTCACAACAATACTATTATTATCCCCATTTTACAGTTGAGGAAACTGAGGCAATCAGAGGTGAAATCTCTTGGCCAGGGTCATTTAGCTAGTAAGCATCTAAGAACTGATTTGAACTCAAGACTCCAGACCCAGCAGTCTATCCACTGGGTCAACCTAACTGCCCTGGAAGGGAAAATTTGCCTTGTTAGCTAGTCAAGAAGCATTAATTGAGAACCTATTGGGATCAGCTAGCTGGATCTGTATTTGCATATGAGCAACTTCTCCTTTTTTCTTTAGCTGATGACAAGGGAGTGAGCTAAATAAATTTTCAAGGTTCCTTCTAATCCTCTGGTTCTCATCTATTTTGTTAAACCAAGCAAAAAAAGCAACTATACTGGCTCTAAAAAAGTTAGCATGCTAAGAAATCAGGGGCTGGGTAAATATCCTAATAAAGACTCTATTTTGATACTTCTTGGAAGGTAAGCTTCCCGAGGTTAGGGATTGTTTTATTTTTCTCTTTATATCATTCACACAAATTCTTAGAAGTAAAGGGTTATATCATTTTTGTGTTTGTATTCCTAGGGCCCAGCCTGGCACATAGTGAAGTGATTAATAAGTGTTTGCTGATTGTTTGGTTGATGGATAGATGCAGTGGATGGGTGATTTCATCAGCACACGTTTCTCCACCAATACAAATCATCCTGTGTGGTTTTTTTGCCATGCTCCATAAAGAATCCCTCCAAGGAACCGGAGGTCCCCCTCTGTTATCTGTCATGCCTTGCTGTAAGTCCTCAGTGCTGTTTTTACATCAATTCTTGCATGCACTGGTAATACGCTTGAGCTGGCTTATATACCAACCTGTTCCTTTGGGACATCTGAATTTTTCATTCTTCCAAGATTGTTGTATCTCTTGATTCCTAGCCAAATGGCAGCATGGAGAGAATACTGATAGTAAAGAAAAACCTTTTATGGCAACAAGCATGTGAGGATTATTAAAAGACATATCCTCAATATGGTCCAGCCCAACCTTATCTACTCAGTTCTGGACCCAGACCATCACTGCCTGTATAGTCCAAGATTCACAGAATACAGGCTGCCTCTCTAACCAAATGTCACAATCTGGGCAGTGTTCATTTTTCACCCATTTTGGGGTTTGGTGATTAGACCAATCTTTTTGATTGAGATTAGTCTAATAATGGTAATTTTTTAAACTTCATCTTACTATTAAGTATACATTCTCATCTCATATAATATTCTGTGAGTAAAAATGTTCTTTGCCTATTATGCTTGGGATGCTAAAATTTCACATTTAAAAAATGAGTGCATACTTGCTTGGGCACTACTTCCTTGATTTTGTCCAAAGTAGCTGTCTTGTTAAAGTGACCTGAACTAGTGGTTCCTGAAGATATTCAGTCCTGTAATGCCCAATTTAACATGTCAGGGAAATACTGTCTCTAAACAATGTGTATATAATTGGAATCTCAGCTCTCTGCTCATCTTTCATTCCCAAGGGGATAGTTAAATGGTGCAGCAGATAACAGCAGTGGGCTTGGAGTCAGGAAGCCCCAAATTCAAATTTGACCTCAGATGTCTACTAACTATGTGGCTCTGGACAAGTCACTTAATCTCTTGTTTTCTTAGTTTTCTCATCTGTAAAATGGGAATGATAATAGCCCTTACTTCCCAGGATTATTGTGAGGATAAAATGACATAATAATTGTAAAGTGCTTAGCACAGTGCCTTGCACTATAAGTGCTAAATAAATGTTTTTTGTTGTTCAGTCATTTCAGTTATTTCCAACTCTTCATGATCTCATTTGGGGTTATCTTGGCAAAGATACTAGAGGGTCTGCCATTTCCTTCTCCAGCTTATTTTACAGATGAGGAAACTGAGGCAAACAAGGTAGAGTGACTTGCCCAGGGTCACACAACTAGGGAGTGTTTGAGGCTGAATTTCAGCTCACAAAGATGAATCTTCCTTACTCCAGGTCCATCACTCTACTCACTATGCCACCTAGTGAGGATGATAATGATGTTACAGATTGTATCATTGGCCCTAGGAAAATATGTATGTATATAGAGAGATAGATTAATTGTTATAATTACTTTGGATTCTAGTCAGTACTTCTTTTTTTACATTTATCTTGTTCTAAGTTTTCTCATCTATAAAACATTTGATTAGACATTTGATTTTTTTTTCCTGTGCAATTTATTTCTGTGAGCTGTGCTCCACCCTCTTTCCCCTGAGGCTATGTCTTTCTCCTTTCTTCCATCATATCCAGTAAATGATGCCTCTCCCTCACTTTTGGCATAGACTAGCTATCCAGCAGGGCTTTCATGTTTTCCAGTCATTTCATGAAAATATCTTCTATCGTAACCTGAGTTCACCATTATGTTTCCACCTCCAAGTAGTTCTCTATAATTTTAGGACCCACTGAAATGGCTACTGTCTGATGGGAGAAAGATCATGGCCAATAGCTTTCAATCTGAGACCACACCAGCCATCCCTGAGACAGGAGCCCAAGGGAACCACAAGCCACTGAGCTGATGATATACTTTGCTGATCTCTTCCCCTCTCCCCTCATACCTACCCACTCCATGTTTTTTTCAATGCACCCAGAGAAACAGTGTGGAATAGTGGAATGAGCATTGGACTTGGAGTCAGAAGAAATCTCTGTTTGGATCCTACCTCTGACACTGATGAGTTGTGCGCTCATGAGCCTCAGTTTCCTTAACCATAAAATGAGGATAATAATACCTGTTGTACTTCCTTTATAGGTCATTATGAGGTTCAAATGAGATCTTCATAAATACTTTGCAAACTTTAAAGTGCTATGTAAATGTCAGCTAGGTGGCATAGTGGATAGAGTAGCAGACATGGAATCAGGAAGACCTGAGTTCAAATCCTGCCTGAGAAACTATTATGCTCCCCGACATTACACTTGAGGAACCTGAGAGGTTAAGGACTTGCCTAAGGTAACAAAGTAAGTATCTGAGGCTGGATTTGAACTCATTATCTTCCAAACTCCAGGCTCAGCGTGTGACCTAGCTTTCTTGGAGATAAGGCTTGCATGTGCAAAAGATCTATGAGTTTTAGTTGACCCTAAACTCAATATGAATTAACAGTGTGATAAGGCAGTAAAAAAACTGATAATACATCCCTTAGTTTTCATTAAGAGGAGTCTTATGTCAAGAAGGAGAAAAGTAGTAGGTCCACGGTATGCTTTTCTTGTCAGAGCACCTTTAGTATTGTATCCAAATCTAGATGCTATATTTTAGAAAGGAAATTGACAAACTGGAACATGCCCAGAAGAGATAGTGAGTGGACTCAATCATCTCATATGAAAGTCAATTGAAGGAACTATGGATGTTCGGTTTAGTGGTAGAGAAGATTTAGAGAGAACATGATGGCTGCCTTACTATTTGAAGGACTGTCCCATGGAAAAGAGATTAGACTTGCTTTATTTGGCCCCAGGGCACAGAGCTAAGAGAAGTCAGTGAGCTCAGTAGAGGCAGTATATAGTTCCATATGAGGCAAAAGCTCCCCAAAATAAGAACTGTACAGAAATGGAATGGGCTACCTCAACAGGTAGTGAGTTCCCTATCATTCAGTGCCTTAAGGTAGAACCTAGAAAATGATCTCTTAGGGTTGTTATTGAGAAGCAAGGCCCCAATCCTTGGGGAAGTTGATCCATCCATCTTTGGAGCTCCCACACAGTTGGTTGGTGACAGAGAATGTGCACAACTAGCCCAGCTAAGCTTCCTATATTTACTGGCTGGCCCGAGACACCAGACCAGGGGTGCGGAACCTGCAGCCTCAAGGCCACATGTGGCCCTCTGGGTCCTCAAGTGCCGCCCTTTGACTGAATCCAAAGTTCACAGAACAAGTCCCCTTCCTAAAAGGATTTGTTCTGTAAAACTTGGGCTCAATCAAAAGGCCACACCCAAGGACCTAGAAGGCCACGTGTGGCCTTGAGGCTGCAGGTTCCCCGCCCCTACACCACACCATGCATCAGCTTCACATTCCATCCACATGGGTGGGCTATCTTAATCTTTGTCTTCTAACACTGACCTGATTCTGATGGGTCAGCATCCTCCATGCTAGACCTGAAACCTGGATTTCCATACCTGCTCTTCTAGAATCCAGGTCCCAGTCTCTGTGGAAATTAACGCACCTATCTGTGGAGTAGTGCAGTGGAGAGAACGTGGACTCTAGAGGCTGAAAACTTGGATTTGATCCCTGGCCCTGCTACTCACTAACTTTGTGTCTTTGGTTAAGTCACTTTATGTCTCTAGCCTCAATTTCTCATTTATAAAATGAAGGAATTGGACTAGATGACCTCTAAGATCCCTTGTAGTTCCAAAGCTTTGATCCTATGATCTCTTTTAGCAAAAATGACAGCTGGGGTTAAGGAGAGAGTAAGGACTTTGGGAATTTTTTAAAATGCCCATACATACACAAATTTAGAGTAGAAAGAGACCTTAGTCTTTGGAGGGAGCTAATCCAATCCCTCATTTAACTGATAAAGAAACTGAGGCCCAGAGAGATCAGATTTTATATTCATTAGAGTCTTTTTACTTTATTTTTAAATTCCCATTCTCTCCATGTGGTATATAATTTTAAAAATCAGCACAAAGCCAAGTGAAATTACATAGTAAGCCTTCTGCAAATAAACAAAGACGCAGCATTTTCATTCTGGTAAATCACATCTGTTTTCCTCAGTGCTCTTCAGTGAACAGAAACCAAGGCATCTAGAATGCACACTACACACTATGGGCATGGAAGTTGTTGAGTTTCTAAGGAAGTGGCTAAATTCCTGAAGAAAGGAAGAGATGAGGAGTCTGTGGAAGGCTTTACAACCTCTATGATCCCTCAGGAGCATCACACATTACCTTCGTTTGCCAGATAAGATATCATTGCTGGGTTTAGATATCAATAAAAAAAAATTAAAAGAGACAGAAAACCAAGCAAATAAAGTCATATTACCATCAGTAACTCCCATTAAAGTCCTCTTTTGATACCTCAGAGGTCATGAAGGCGACCTTGAGTTGTCAGAAGCTATACCCACACCAAGTACAAGCTCTGGCAAGATCTACCAAGTTGGAAAGGCTCAAGAAGAGGCCAGGTGATAGCATATCTGTCATCCAAGGAACAGTGCAGAAGGGTTCATTATCACAAAAATGGTAAAGAGTCACTAAATTGATTTAGCCACAGAAGCTCAAAAAGACTAACATGTGGAGGGGTTGTAATCTCCATTGGTGGAAAAAATGGCTAAATTACTGAAATCAAGGGTTCTTGAAGCATGAGGATAAATAAATAATTCAAGTCTTCCCATGCTTTATTTTCAAATTAATGATATAGAGGAGAGAGAGAGAGAGAGAGAGAGAGAGAGAGAGAGAGAGAGAGAGAGAGAGAGAGAGAGAGAGAGAGAGATTAAATGCTTATCATGTGCCAAGCACCATGCTGGAGATATAAATACAAGCAAACATGACAGTCCCTGCCTTCAAGGAGCTTACATTCTAACTGGAAGGGTAGTACATAAAGGGGAGCTGAAAAGTTGGGGAAGAACTCTCAGAGCAGCAGGGCATAGTTCTTGGAGGCCCAGTCCCTGGCAAGACAAGGTTAAAGCTGACCTATCAGAGCCACGGGACCCACGAGCAGAGTCCAGGTTACAGGTGGGAAGGAGATGGAGCTGATAGTCCAAGTAGAAGCGGCATGACTAAAAAGATAATCACTTCTGGGGCAGTATTAGAGTCATTCTAATTAAGTCTTTTTTTCTTTCCTCTTATTCTTCTTATCCCCTCAGGGAGAAAATACTGAGGAGGAAGATCTTTCCATGGAGGGCAATGGCACCAATGGACCCCAAATTAGTCCCAGCCATTGTGCTGGGGAACCTTCGAGGAAGAAGAAACAAACAGGGTACAGGGGGAAATTAGATAATTTCACGCATGCTTTTTGGAAACACAAATGCTGATTAATATCTGGCTTTTAAGTGTTAGCTCAAAAATATCTGCTGCAGGGGGAAAAAAATCCAAACCTGTTGAAGGAAAGATGGAAGGAAGTCAGTAAGAAGTATTTGTGATCTTAATAAGTGTGTTTCTTAGGAGAAATTTCTGTTAGCACTGTTGTTATTTTTCATCATCCTCCAGTGAAATTTCCAAGGGAAGTAATTTACAAAAACCTTTAGATGAAAGACAAATCTTTCAATTTAGAAACTGTGTGGTACAGCAAAAAAAGTTCTAGGCTTAAAGTCAGGCGAGCCCTGGGTCTGAATCCTACCTCTGACACTTACTAGATGAAGCCCCACCTCTCTGAGCCTCAGTTTCCCCATTTTAAGAATGAGAATAATAATCCCTATAGTGTTTACCTACCTTACAGAGCTGTTAGTCAACAAGGATAAGTACTTAGCATGGTGCCTGGCACATAGCAGGGGCATAATTAATGATTATTGATTAAGTACCTGCTACATGCCAGGAGCTGTGCCAAATGCTGGAGATACAAAGAAAGGCAAAAACAGTCCCTGCCCTCAAGGAGCTTATATTCTAACGAAGGAAACAGCATGTAGAATAGAGGAGATATGTATATGGTACAGACTAGATGAAAGGTAATCCAAGAGGAGAAGGTCACTACTAGCCTCCTTTTCCTAGGATCATAGATTTATTTTGTTTTTGTTTGGAGGCAGTTGGAGTTCAGTGACCTGTCCATGATCGCACAGTTTCCAGTGTTGAAGATGCCTGTTGGGTAAATACTGCAAGAGAAGGAGGTTCTGGTGCTACTCAGGGCCTGGGATCTCACCACTATGTACATTATACACCAGCAGACTACAAGGTGAGATGTTTTATAACTATTCCTTTTAAAGCACAGTATTATGTGCGTTCTCTGGTTAGAGAGGCAACTTGGCACAGTGCTTAGAGAACGGACCTCAGAGCAAGAAAGACCTGGATTTGAATCCTACTTATTAGCGGTGTGACCTTAAGGAAGTTATCTGACCTCTCAGCACTCCAGGCAACTTTCTAAAACACTTTTCTGTGTCATGGACCCCTCTGGCAGTCTGGTGAAGTTGATGGGCCCTTTTTAGGACTCACATTTTTAAATGCATCAAGAAAATACATTGGGTTACAAAGGAAATTGATGATATTGAAATAAGTTATCAAAACATTTTTTGAAAAACAAATTAATGCACCCCAGGATAAGAACTCTTGTTCTAAGGCAATGAGTTGCCAAGCAAACGTTGATTTGCATTAGTAGAAGCTTTGGGAATTCCTGTTACCTATGAAATAAGAGATTCACTTCAAAGTATGCATTTTCTCTCTCTCTCTCTCTCTCTCTCTCTCTCTCTCTCTCTCTCTCTCTCACACTCTTACACACACATCAATAGAAATAGAGGATATTAAGGCTGAAAACAACCATAGAGATCATCTAGCTAGTACCATCTTTTTGTTTTTGTTACAGATAATTATAAAAATAATAAGTAGCATTTAAATAGCACTTTAAAGTTTGCAAAGCACTTTACAATATTACCTCATTTCAACTCCACAACAACCTTTGGAGGTGGATACTATTATGATCCCCATTTTACAGATGAGGAAACTGAGGCAGATGGTGGTAATGGGGTCACATCTGGAAAGTATCAGAGGCAGAATTTTAACTCAGGTCTTCCTGACTCCAAGTCCAGCACTCTGTCCACTGAAGAATTTGAGGCCTAGAAGGATGAAGTGGACAAATGTCCAAGGTCACAAAGCTAGGATTCAAACCCAGGTCCTCTAACTCTGAATCTAATATCCTTCCCACTTTATCCTTTTACCCAAAGTTATCACTCCTGGGACCCCAAACAAGGTTTTGATAGCAAGAAAATAACTACATGTACAAAAATGTTAACAATATGTACCTGTGACAATAAAACATGGAGTCAACAATTGGAGCGATAGCAAAATGGTGCAGTAGGAAGTTTGGAATCAAAGGACCTGTGTTCAGATTCAGGCCTGTCTCTCCTGTGTTGTGGTCTGAGAGGTTCAGAGACCTCTCAAGGACCAAAGTTCAGGACAGGGACATTCTGGAATCAATTAATGGACTCAAGCAATCTTTAAGTCAAGTTGGCAAAAGTTTATTGTTAAGCTTTTCAGCGGAAAAAGTTCTTAAGGAAACCATGACCTTAGAGGGGTACAGTTAAGTTTATATAGGATAAACTCTATTAAAATGTGCCAAATATGCTACCTAGGTGATGCTGAGTGCGGTTAGGGAATGGTTAAGGAGTGGTCAGTTCTTAAGGGAACATGCATTTTTTGTATCTACTGCGCAGGTGTTTTACCCAGAGTTCACCAGGAAAAGGCCAAGGGAGGGCCACATGGAGGTATGATTTTAGGCCTGCTAAGTTACTAAGTTAACTAGTGGTCAGAGCTGACTGAGGGTTGCCCAGTCTGCCACCAATCAATGTCATGTTTGACAAGATAAATGTAGGGAGTATACATATGTCTTAAGTCTAGAATACACATAATGAGGAGTCTGGGATGCAAATAATGAGGTAGAGAGTTGGTATAGATAGTCTAGTGGTTACAAATATCTTTATCACCCAGTACAAAGCCAGTTCAAACTAATAATTCTTACAGGTGCAGTGTGTAGCTACACCAGGGAGAGAGACAAGTGGTTGCTGAGGCCAACTCGTGAGTAATTGCTAGGCATAGTGTTTTAGAGGCTAGGGAGAAATATGGTCTTGGAATTGGGGTCCAAGCACAGGCACCCAAGCACCCCATCACTTGTGTGATTCTGAACAAGCCGCAGCCTTTCTGGCCTTCTTCTGAGGACCTTTCCAGATCTAGAACTATAGGACCTTATGACTTTCCCTTCCATCGTTCCCTCCCTCTGAAATGAGGTCATATTTCTGCAAATCAGACTCTCATGGACCACATGAACAAGATGTATCCCAGCAGAGCTACAGCTCAGTACTCACATGAGGTTTCTTTACTTCCCCTTTACTTTAATTTTGTGCTAATGACCCAATTCTGACCTTCCTTCAGAGGGTTTTGTGGTCTAGAGAGTTGTTCCTTCAATATTGTGTTTGGAGAAGTAAGAGGAAGGCTGCAAGCAGAGCTATTCACTGGCATTAGAAAATAGCCTGATGTCCCAGCAATGAAGACGGAAGGCACAAGTGAATCAATGCCAAGAGAAATATTTGCTGGGTTTACTCACCATAGCAAAACTGGGACCGCAGCCTTGATTTAGACTTTCTATCCTTGAGATTTGTTCTCTGAATTGTTCGAATGTATCTGAGGCCATTTTCTAGGTTCATAGTTTCATAGTCAAGTCAAAAAGAAATTATTGAGCACTTATTAAATATGTGCCAGACACTGTGTCTGGTCATAGGATCATGGGTTTGGAGCTGGAAGATACCTTAGACTCAACAGGTAAATAAATATTTATTAAGTGCTTACCCATGTTTCAGGCACAGTGCTAAGGGCTAGAAAATATAAATACAAACAAAAAGGAGAGTCCCTGCCTTCAGGATGCTACATTCTAATGGAGGTAAGACAATACACGAGGCAGGCAACGAGGTGGCTCAGTGGATAGAGAGCAGGGCCTGGATTCAGGAAAATGAGTTCAAATGTGGCCTCAGACACTCACTAGCTGTGTGACTCTGGATAAGTCACTTAACAACCTCTATTTGCCTTAATGCATTGGAGAAGGAAATGGCAAACCACTCCAGTATCTTTACCAAGAATGCCCTATGGACAATATGGTCCATACTGGAGTTGGACACAACTCAGCAACAACAAGACAATACATAAAAGGGAGCCAAAAAGGAGAAGGTATGTGGGGAGTGGGGTGGGGTGGGGGGTAAAGAAAGTCTAGAGAGTCAGAACTTGAGCCTGGTAGGTAGGTGCTATCATTATGACCATTTTACAGATGAGGAAACTGAGGCAAACAGAGGCTAACTGACTTGCCCAGGTCACACCGCTAGTGATGATAATAACTGCTAATATTTACCATATGCCAGGTACTGTACCAAGGACTTTGCAGTTATTACCTCATTTGATCCTCACAACAACTCTGGGAGGTGGTGGGTGCTCTCATTATCCCTATTTTATAGGTGATGAAACTGAAGCAGAGGTTAAATGACTTGCCCAGAATCACACAACTAGACTACTAAGTGTCTGAGGCTGGATTTGAACTCAGGTCTTTCTAACATTGGGCCCAGTGCTGTACCCACTGTAACACCTACCTACCTTTAGAGGAGAGGAATGAAGACATGGTTGGCCTGGACATGTTCCCTTAAAAGGCAGGTTCTAGGAGGAGCCAGCCAATCAGAGGAAGAGGCTCTGGGGGCAGAGAATACTTTTAGTGTGAGAAGTCCAACAGTGGAAAATAACTTCAGGGTGAGGGGACTTCTCTAGCATGGTAGGGAAAGCCTGGAGAGTCAAGAAGACATGGCTGCCCAAGGTGTTCCTAGAAGGAACTGGCCAGTCAGAGGAAAGAACTCCAGGGGTGGAGAGATGAGGAAATCGAGGCCTAGAGAAGTTAATGTGACCTGCCTGAGATTACACAGCTAGTAAGTGGCAGAGTCAGGATGTGAACTCGGGTCCACCTCTCTTTTCATTGTACCTGGTTCCTCTGCTTCTCCAGCTTCGGAATCATAGGATCATAGGTTGTAGAGCCTGAAAAGAACTTGGAGATGAAGAGAAGGGGAGGAGAAGAAGGAGCAGAATAACAGTTCTGTAGCATTTTATGCACATTCTCCTTTGAGCCTCACAACCATTCATTGAGGCAGATACTGTAGGTATTGTCCCACTTTTACACAGGCCAGGTATTCCTGACTCCAGGGCCCTTTCCACTGCATCATGACCCCATTCATGTGAAATTATGCTTGGCAAGATACAGCCTACCTTGAGAACACTGTGAAGGATTTGTTGAATGAATGAATAAAT